TGCATTATTTCATTCTTTTTTATGGCTGAGTAATATTCCATTGTATATATGTACCACATCTTCTTTATCCATTCATCTGTCAATGGACATCCAGGTTGTTTCCATGTCTTGGCTATTGTAAATAGTGTTGCTGTGAACATAGGGGTGCATGTATCTTCTTGAATTATAGTTTTGTCTGGGTATATGCCCAGGAATGGGATTGCTGGATCATATGGCAACTCTAATTTTAGTGTTTTGAGGAACCTCCATACTGTTTTCCATAGTGGCTGCACCAATTTACGTTCCCTCTAACGGTGTAGGAGGGTTCCCTTTTCTCCACACCTTCTCCAGCATTTGTTATTTGTAGACTTTTAAATGATGGCCATTCTGATCGGTGTAAAGTGACACCTCACTGTAGTTTTGATTTGCATTTCTCTAATGATTAGCGACGCTGAACATCTTCTCATGTGCCTGTTGTTTCTTAAATAGATCTTATTGTGCAATGAAGGAATGTTTTTTATCCTTTGACCCGCTCTGCAGGCAGGGCTGTACTTCAGCTGCCCCTGGACAACCTCTCAGTGCTGCTGGCTGTCCCTGCCCTCTGTGAACCTGGGGCTCCAGCAACCCTGGCATAGTCCAGACTCCACATGTTCACAGGCCTCCATGCCTTTGCCTCTTTGTGTTCCTGTTCAGGCCTTTCCATCTCCCCACCTGCTGCACTCCTAACTGCCTTTCAAGGCCTCCCTCAAACGTCACTTCTTTTCCATAGCTTCCTTCCCCATCTCCAATTCCTTGAAGTTTGAGTGTCCTCAGAAGGAAAACTTGTGACAAGACTTGGGTGAAGATAGTTTATTTGCACAAGTAAAGGAGTGGAGATGGGGAAAGGTGGGTGCAAAACCATTGAAGGTGGGTAAACAAATAAGTGAAGGGTCCCTGCTGGGGGTACCTGGGCTCAGTCCTGCTGGGGCCTCTGAGGGACTGTCTGTGTGCCTTGGAACTGGCCCGCCATGGATTAGGGAGGCTGGATATGTATCTGCCGACTCCATCCCTCCTTGGCTGAGGGTTGCCCCTGGGGGCAGTCAATCCCAGAGCTTCCCAGCTACGCTAAGCACAGGTTCAGTGAGACCCACACTGATGCCACAGAAAGCTCTTGCTCAAGCATAGAAGCAGAAGGGCTCAGGGCTTGAGGAGAGAAGTTGTCCGCATGCAGAGAAAACATCCACCATGGCACCAGGTGGACTCAAGGTGGACTGACGCACACTGCATCCTCCACCTGACCTCTCCCATGAACCCTTCCCTTGCCAGTGCCCACGTGGCACTTGGTGAAGCCCTTCACAGTAGCCTTAATGGCTCCATATTTGTTTGTTTTCTAACATCTATGAAGCACATTTTATGTTTCTGCTTTACATTTCAACCCTCGGAACAACTCAAGAGGCAGGTACTATAATTACTCCCATTTAATAACAAGAAAACTGAGTCACAGAGAGATTAACTAATTCTGTGTTTATGTGCCTATCTCTGCTTCCAGACCGTGAGCCCCTGAAGGGCGTGGCCTTTGTGTTATGCTGTTTGTACACTCACTTCCAACACACTGACTGGCATATAGTAGGTACTCAATAAATGTCACTTGGATCAGGTTATTCAGAAGATTCAAAGTCACAGCGGAAAGTGGAAAGACATGCCTCGCGTTGAACAATGTCATTCTGAGAACAGCTTTTCAGTAATCAACAATGCCAGAATGATCAGACTGTACAAACTGAGTCTGTCAGGAAATCATCAGAAAGAAAGCAAACCATGTTGTGTGACCGCTCACATGCCAACTACCTGCATTCCCTTGTCTTGGGATTAACCATGAGTTTTGATAACTCTGTTTATACCTGCGTCTTATACA